TTTTGCATGCAGATAAAGCTGTAGGTGACTGAGAAGCATTTGAAGACTTCTAGCCTAGTAAAGATTCAGATAGAAAACAGTAATGCCAAAGGAGTGGTGTCCTTCTTTAAGGAATGTTCAATAGCTATGTTCCTGGATAGGCTGGTATATTTCTTAAAGTAGCTATTAGGAAAGAGAGCAGAGTTCAGTAGCTTAAGTAGGATCTGGAAAAGATCAGTGCAAAGCCTGCCAAGAAACATTGCACAATTTCCTAATTATTGAACCCAGACCAAAATGTCTCCAAGAATACAGTGAATCCAAAAAAAACCTATCATGTTCCAGTTAAAAGATTAAGAAAGTTGAATTAAAAAGTCAATAGTTAAAAGAACAAACCCAGTGTTGTTCAAGATTGGTACAGAAATGTATGCCAATAGATCATCTGGCTCTATTTTAACATTAAGTAATAAGTGGCATAATACAATAAATTTTGTACAGAATCAATTTTTAATTCTTAACAGTAATTTTGACTATGAAGAATTTCCAAGATATTGGAATTTGTCAGGGAATTGATGCAAAAATTATTTATTTAGGCTTTTTATTCCAACCCAAATATTAAGTGTTGTATTTAATATTATACACAACATATGAGATGTATCCCCACAAAGTAATAATATTTATTGGGAGAAATTAAAACACTGGTTTGCTAATGAAAAATGCTAGGTTTTATCTCATCAAGCTTGTTTTTCTTATTTATTTTCAATAAAATCACAATGCATTTGATACAAAATCTAACAAGTTGTTGCCCAAACAAGAAAATTAAATTAAAGCAAGAGATCCAAATCCACAGAATAATATATAATCTGATTTTTTAAAGAGACATCTTTGTCTGATTGTCCCTATAGCAAATGTTTTCTTTGCCTAACTTTAAAGGATATGCCTTGAATTTTAACAGAAGCCTTGCTTAGTTCAAGATGTTGTTGTTTTGCTCTGTTATTCTCAATATCCATTACCAACTCCTTCCAATTATAATGAAGAGCAACTTGCAGGCCCAGTTCCATAAGTTAAATATAACAAATGTGGCATAACCTATTTCCCATTATATTGTTCAGTGTTAAAATAATAAACAATAGATTCTTGCAAAAATTGACATGTTTTACCATTATTGGAGGAATACACTAATACTTGAATGGATACATATTTATTTGATCTATAGGATTCCCAGGGCAGTTTGGAGAACAAGGTACACCTGGAGATCCAGGTATTCCTGGGGCTTCTGGTGACAGAGGAAATGTTGGAAACATTGGCCTTCCAGGAAGAAAAGGTAAATTAAATTTTAACAATAGAATTGATACTAATACGTTAATTCAGTGGCAGCTTCTCTTTTTCTGTGTTTCATATCCGTTTAAAAAATACTGTTTGTTTTGGGAAGTCTATGAAAGGATGGGCTTAGGTTTCAAGAATCCATTCCATTGGCAAAACAGCTTTGTAAGGATCAGAACAGGAAAAGTCAGAAGCAAAGAACCTGAAGTCTAGTGAAGTGTCAAACATTCCTTCTACTGAGGTACCAGTGGCTCTCAGTCCATTATGATACATGGGCAGGAGAAGGAGATATAAGAGTTGAATCTGGATCTGCTGTAGCTGCTTTTCTTTGTTGTTAATGGCTTTTTAAGTATTTGCAATAATCTGCTTGTGAGTGTTCTTGTCAGGCTTCATCCATATTCAAAATTAAATTTATGCAACTAGCTTTTCCTTGCATTTTCCTGCATTTGGCTCAATAATGTGTGCTTCAGCTTCTGTTAACAATGGTGTTTCAATAGCATAACGGTTATAACATTTGCCTGACCTACAACATTTTATCAGTTCGAAACTCAGCAGAAATTTTCAAAGAATTCTGTATTATATGTTACTTAAGTCTGTAAATAATACTGATTTTACTGTGCTTTTTGGAAGGTGTGCATGGGAGCAAAGGACTTCCTGGATTAGATGGTTTGCCGGGTTCTAAAGGCTTGCCAGGATCACCAGGTATGTTCCAGTTTTGAGATGGTCTAACATACATTATGAAACCTGAATTTTCTTATGAATAAGTGATATCCAACTTGAAATCAAAGGAACAACATTCCCCCCCCCCCCCCAAGTATCAAGGTTCTAGCTATAGATCCAGCTTTAGAGATGGTAAATTTGGATCTAGAGACCCTTGCAAAGTTTTATAGTTGTCATTAGCTTCATTAGTTTCCTCGGTAGCAAGGGGTGATTTTTATCAGCTGAAGCTATTGTTATAGTTTATATCAATCATCTTAGTCACTGATGTCCTAAAAATCTTTCATTTTGATTACTGCAATGTGGGAAGCAGTCCGTAAGCTTCCAAGTACAAAATGTGACAGCTGGAACACTGGCTGTAATGAGTGTTATGATTATATTGTACATCGTTTTCATTATTTTCCACTTAATTTCTGGGTCCAATTTTAAGTGCTAATGTTAACCCGGAAAGCTTTTTGTTATTGGGGGCCATAATATCTGAGAAAACACTTCTAATTCAGATCACATCGGAGAGTACCATGCTGAGATATTTGAGAGTAAGCCTATTCAGCAGTGGAAACCCAGAAACGTTAAACTACAGTATCGCCTTTTTAGTGTTACGCCAAAATTTTCTCCTGGAGTCTTAGAATAGAATAGAGCTGGAAGGAACCTTGGAGATCTTCTAGTCCAGCCCTCTTCTCAAGCAGGAGACCCTATACCATTTCAGACAAGTGGCTGTCCAGTGTCTTTTTAAAAACCTCCACTGATGAAGCGCCCACAATTTCTGATGGCAAGCTGTTCCACTGGTTAATTGTTTTACTCCTTAATTCCAGATTGCTTCTCCCCTTGATTAGTTTCCATCCATTGTTTCTTGTCCTGCCCTCCAGTTCTTTGGAGAATAAATTGACCCCCCCCTCCTCTTTGTGGCAACCCCTCAAATACTGCTATCTTGTCCCCCCTAGTCCTTCTTTTCTCTTGACTAGCCAAACCCAAATCCTGGAACCGTTCTTCATATGTTTTTGTCTCCAGGCCTTTGATCATCTTAGTTATTTTAATGCAATATGTTTAATTTTTTAATTTGGGTTTTATTGGTATTCCAGTGGATACTTTTGAGACTTTTGCTCACAAATTTTGAAATATGAAAACTCTTAATATTATTATGTCTCCCATTTCTGCAGTTAGTGTGTAAAACTTCTTCATTTAGAAGCTGGACAATTAACAATGCCAATATTTTAAAAAGTGTTATGCTGAATATAGAAATTTCCTTTTTTTTTTTTTTTACATAACAGGTCCAGATGGATATGGCACATCGGGTTTTATAGGTGCTTTGGGTGAGAAGGGTCCAGCAGGAGACCCAAGTCCCATTGAAGGCAGTAGAGGACCTCCTGGCCAGAAGGGGCAAAGAGGGGATCCAGGTTAGTTTATTAGCCTCACAATTAATGAAATACTTTCATTTTTTTAAAGAAACATTTATTCTAAATTTCATGTCAGAAAGTACAGTTGTACTTACATGGAATCTGTATTTTTATATCTATATCTATCTATATATCTATCTCTATCTATCTATTGCAAGTTTTACAGCTGCAAGAACCATTTGGCACATATTATATCCAGTTGTGTTCAAATAAAGACTACCCAGCTTATTTTTCTTTTCTTTTCTAAAATGTCTGTGCAACCCACACAAGATTGAAATAGCTTAATTTTAATGGCTCAAAGTTGTAATTTCCAGAATTGAATACTCTACTTACAAACATTTGCTTGCTCTTACTTCCCAGCAAGCCTCATCTCAACCTAAGAGTATCTTTGTGTCAATCTGTACGCTGTAATTTGGTATAGTAGGAAGGAACAATTCTTTTTTCACTTTATGCCTGACTGCTTGTCTTTCTGGCACAGCTGATTTCAACCATTTTCAGACAAAATATTTCAAAATGGGAAGTTTATTTTTCTTTAGCTATAATACATCTCCTAAACTTTTGACAATGTGTTTATTTTATTGACTAGTACAAGTAGTCCTCAACTTACAGCCATTTATTTAGGGATTGTTTGAAGTTAATAACAACGCTGAAAAAAACGACTTCCCTCCAGTTCTTGCACTTACATCTTTTTCAGCATCCCTGCGGTCACATTAAAATTTGGGCCCTGGGTAATCAGCATGGGTTTATGATGGCTGCAGCATCCTGGGGTCACCTACAACCTTCCTAAATGATTTCCAGCAAGCAAACTCAATGGAGGAAGCTGGATTCACTTAACAACTGTATGGTTCAATTAATGACTGTGGTGATTCACTTAACAATCATGGCAAAAAGAGTCAAGTAAATCAGGTGCAACTCAATTAATAGCTGTTTTGCTTAGTAATGGAAGTTCTGGTCCCAATTGTGGGTTGTAAGTTGAGGATTCCCTATAGTTATCCAGAAGAGCTTAAGGTATCTGCATTGCTGACTTAGCAATGGAGAGTTTGTATAGTGCAAGGAAGAGTAAAAACACAACAAAAAGTACATTTTTTATCAACCAAAACCACTGAGCCTAAGATATCTCACCACTTCTGCTGTTTTATTCCTGATGTATTTAAAGCTACCAGGTTTTTTTTAAACTATTCTTTTGTTTGATTACTGACCATCAGAAATCTAATATTTCTTTGTTTCTTCATGACCTATTCCCAAACTCAGAAACAATCAAACAAAAAATTTACAAGAGAAAAATCCCATCTGATGTGCTACTTGGATGGGAAGGCATCTTCTGCCACTTTGAATGGCAGGCTAAACAGCCACCATATCATCCTTGCCCTTCAATGCCAACTTGCTGTAGCAAAGAGTAGTGTGGTAGAAGAGAGAAGAATTCCCTTTGTTTCATAAGCCAGGTCTCCATGATAATATGCCAGGTTAGTTCTTCCATCCAGGAAAGCAATGGATAAGTTTAGGTTGGGGATTTGTCTGCAATAAAGATTCTACTCTAACCTATCTCGCTAATTCATTTACTGGAGTCTTCTGAAAATAAAAGCTGAACAAAACTTCAAGGATGATTTTCTGTCTGGCTTTGGTTTGAAGTATGACAGCAAGGAAAAGAAGCTGGCCATGGTCCTTCCCTCTTTCCCATACAATAGCCAGGTTGCAGCCTCCCACTGTGTCTCTCCTGCCAGTGATTACTTCACTTCCAGGCTGTTTTGCATGCCATACTTTTTTTTCTTAATTTTCCCTATTTTCTTGATGCATCCCAGAGGTGGTATTCAGCAAGTTCTGACCAGTTCTGGAGAACCGTGAGCGGAAATTTTGAGTAGTTTGGAGAACTGGCAAATACCACCTCTGACTGGCCCTGCCCCCATCTATTATCTGCCTCCCAAGTCCCAGCTGATCAGCTGGGTCTTCTTTTGTTGCCCTGCACAGGAGAATGGAGCCCATCATGTGGGATAGGAAGAACCACCTACCCTTCCTACTGTATTTACTAATCATTCTCCCAAATCTATCTTCAGAATGAATTTCCATTTCAATTTAGACATCCAGTTCTTCTACCTTCCCACTGGCATCATCCAGATGTCTTTTATCCTCCCCCTTTTTATCAAAGCTTGCATCTGATATTTGTTCCTTCATTTCTGACTGGCAGGATGGAGAGGTTTAGCTGGCGCTCCTGGACCAGATGGAAGACCAGGATTTCCTGGAGTCTCCAATATATCTGGTATACCTGGTGATGTGGGTTCACCTGGTTTTGATGGAGTACCAGGTAATGCAACACTACCTTATATTCATCGGGGATGTATGAACTATAGTCCTATTCAAATACAACATGAAAATAGTTACAAAGTTCAAACACTGGAGATCATCAGTTTTAAAAATTTTAAGTCATTGTAATTATTTGAATTTGTTGCAAGTTTATTTAGCCTTTCTTCACCATAAAAATGAAACAGGCAAAATGGTAATCAAGAATAATTAAATATAAATTCTGTAATTAAGGCTTAATCCATAGGTCATGGCAGCCCCCCTTCTTTTCAGTTGAATTCACATAGGATTAGCAGTATAATTATAGTTATAATCTATAGCTGATAAACTAGTGCTATCAATTAAAAAGCATGATTTAAAAGACTCTTAGAAAATGTTTTGTGGAGTGGGAATATGTGGGAGGGTTACTTTAATATCATTCTAGGATTGAGGCGAGGCAACTGAACTATGAAATTCTCATGCAGAATAGCAATTCAGAAGTATGGCATGTAACTACAAGATTAATTAGAGACACACAAATAGAACTTACTACACTAAGCCAAAAGTTTGGGGCTAGGGTTGGTTAGCAAGTTCTGTTAATGTGGCCTTTATAGTGTGTAAACTATGGTTTATGATTTAGTATTATTTGCAAACCAGAGTGTTATGGCTCATTCAGTTAAGCATGTTAAAATTAATACAAACAATTTGTTAGTAGACCCACAGTGCCAAATATTAGGCTTATGCGTTTTTCTTCTTTGCATGTTATAATTAACATATTACAGGATTCAAAATAAAATTTAAAATTTGAATGCTGAATTTTAGTAGTATTTTAGAGCACAAGCAAAAGCTCATCTGGTCATAATTTTTAAAATGTCTAATGAAATGATAAAAAGTAAACCAAATTTACCTAGGAAATTACTTAATCAGAACTGGCCCATTTTGACATACTAGTAAACTATGTTTAGGGGAGATAATTAATCAGGATGCTTCTTTCTGACCACTACTGTAGTAATTTTTGCATACATACAGGTTATGTTTAAACGATAGAAGCAGACTCCCATTAATCTATTGCAGTAACTTATCTTGGGTTACTGTGAGTGGGGTATGATCAGGGCTGCTCCAGACAAGCAGCGGTCTTTGTCTGAATGCAAACTACTGGAAAAGTGGTTAACAAGCCATGGAAATAGTATAACCAACCACATCACACCATACTCCCAGCAACCCAATAGTTTAGTACCATTGCGGATGAAATTAGAAACATTTTAACCATCCCCGTTCATGTTTCACTTAGGACCAATCTAAAAGCAATCAAAAGTAGTCAGGTTTGGAGTCACATGCTTTGCCCTTCAATGAGCATTCTGAATTCTACTTACCTTTTGAAGGTTACCCTGGAGTTCCAGGGATTCCAGGCACACCTGGCTCATTTGCCATCAAAGGAGAAGAGGGATCAATAGGAGCGGCTGGAGAAGATGGTCTAAAAGGAATAAAAGGAGCCCAGGGCCCAGACGGAAGACCTGGAATATCAGGCTTGCCTGGCGCAAAAGGTACGATGGGAAAATTCAGCATGGAGAATATAAACTAGGTTACTTGGTCAGATGTGTAATAACCCATGCCTACAATTGTTTTGCCTTGAAGGATATAAAGGTGAACAAGGAGTCATGGGCTTTATTGGCCAAACAGGAATTTCTGGTGACTTTGGTCCCATAGGACCTAAAGGAGATAGAGGCCCCACTGGTAAGTAGATTGATTCGGTATGCTAACTTCTGCAATTGCTACATTTAAACCAACATTGCTTCTACAGAGCTTTATCATACCTTTCTCCTTAATGTTTAAAGTTTTAATTTTAACAGCATTTTCAGTAATAATTTACATATTCCTAAAATTGCAATGATGTCTTTTTCTCTTTGTAACAAGAGAGCACTTATTAGTAATATTCATAGTTGTAAGGAATATAGAATATATTGGATCCTCTGTAGCTCGTCAAACCTATTTACAGGACTGGCTTCCCATGAGTCCAGATGCATTCTTTTCCCTCAGGTGACAGATTCATTAGAGTAGATGGGTGGTAAAGCAAGGTTACTGGAAGAAAAATGGAGCCATTTGTGCATATAAACAACTACTGACACCATGGGATAAATATTTAGTATCATTTGAGTTGGGCAGCTATACGAATTTCTTAAACTGATTAATATATTTGTTTTAAAAATTGCATAGGTGTTCAACTGGTGCAAGTAGAAAAATCTATCTGCAAAATCAATGATTTGTTTGGATTTTTAACTTTTAGGTTTTCAGGGACCTCCAGGTTCCCCCGGATTGCCACCTTTACTTCCTAAACTGGTTGCTGAGCGAGGGGCCTCAGGAGCCCCTGGGAAAATAGGCCCCCACGGCCCTGCAGGTGAAATGGGTCCTCATGGTCCCCCAGGAGATCCAGGTAGGAGGTTGCTTCCAAAAATAATGGTGTTCATGAGTTCTGAAGTTATTTATTTCTCAAATAAAGACCAAATAATACCGTATTTGCCGGCGTATAAGACGACTTTTTTGCCCCGAAAAACATGCCTCCAAGTGGGGGGGTCGTCTTATACGCCGGTATATCCACTGCCGGCTTTCGGAGGCTTGTTGGACGCAGCGAAGGCGCCTCTGGCTTCCTGGATCCCCTGCGTCGCTTCCGCTTCATCCCGCTCGCCTCGCTCCGCCCGAGGCTGCAGCCTTACTGCTCTTCCCACGGCCCCTGGCACTCTGCCCTGCCGCTGCAGCCCCGGGGATTTCTGGAGGGCGTTTCCGGTGGTGGTGGGGGGTCGTCTTATACGCCGGGTCGTCTTATACGCCGGCAAATACGGTACTTATTTCAAAGGGATATTTGAGGCACCTAAAAATATTGAGGCAGGTTAAATTGTTATGTATCAGTTTGTCAGCCACACAAAATAACATTGACACTCCCTTGGTCAGTGGCTTTGGCAGATTTCTCTGAAAATGCTGCAGGGATTTAATGCTCTACTAGTACACTTCATATATCAATCCCTGCTGCACTAACATTACAAGCACATCTTATAGAGTGGGGGAGGGGGCGAAATACATTATGCAATTGGTCCTTTGTTTAAAGCAATAGGGGCTCCCACTGTGTTTTCCTTCAGAAAAGGCCCAGGTTTTTTTGTGCAGAAATGTAATGTTATTTGGAAGAAAATGTAATGCATCTCCTGTTCTGTCGCAGCCTTCCTGCTGCTGTCCTATAAATTGTCCTGCTTCAGATGAAATCTCCAGATAATTCTGTTCTCATTCAGAAATGATAATCCCCAGTGTGCTGGTCATGAAATTTCTCATATATTTGATTTTACTGCTTCTGCCTGGGGCACAGTGACCTGATCCTGCTTTAGTTTCCTCTTAGGATCTTACTAATAGCTTTGCTACACAAAGCCACATAAATTATCTGTGAGCGACACACACCTATTATTTAAAGATGCTGAGTGGATTTAATTCTTAGTACCATAGCAATTTTGTAATAAAATGTCATAATCAATCGTTCTGTTTAATAACCTTACTTTTAAGGTTTTAGAGGCCCGATAGGCAAACCAGGAGCACCAGGAAGAGGAGGCATAGCTGCAACTCCAGGCTTCAGAGGTGATCAAGGAGGACAAGGACTGCACGGCCTAGCAGGCTTTGAAGGTAAATCCTAAATTCTTCTCTTTTTTGTATCTTCTCAGACATTTCATCTAGTTGGAGATTTAATTCTGCATCCAATCTATTCATATATATTTTCCCAGTTAAATAAATTCAGGATTGCAACTGCACTAGGTCAATTGAATGTGTATACAATTGCATGTGAGCCAAAATAATCTAAAGAAAAAATATAGTTTTTTTTTTAAAGGTAAGACACCTAAGCAACTATTATTTGAAAGATTCACCTAAGAGGGCATAAATTTGGAATAGACATCCCATGCCTTTCTCACACAAGAAGTGTTATATATTTGCATACTTGTAATACTGCATTATGATTGGTCCGCCAATGCTGCCTATTGATTGGTCCATCCTGAATACTTGAATACTGTTTTGTAATTGGTCCGCCTGACGGTGGGAAGTTTAAGGAGCCGTCATTGGCCGTGAGCCGCGAGCAGCCTCTATAAAAGAGGCTGCCGCGGCTCCGGTTTTGTTGAAGTTACTGAGAGCAAATAAAGAGCTGAAATCACACTGGTCTCGAGTCAGGTCTGTTTCCCGCGACAGAACAAGAAGTAATTCAGATGGTGTTTACCTGCTTTTTAAATAAATATGTTTATTAACATTGATTTTTAAATAGATAGTGAACTATTATTGGGAAAAATGATATTATAGTCTGATGTTTTGCTTCATATGAGCATTAAAACAAATCTTTCAGATGGAATAATGAACCTGGAAGGTGCTACTGAAGATACCTATAGAGGTTGCCCACTTCTATATAGCAACTTGGTATCTAACTCAACTTTTTGTTGGGATTTTTAACTTTTAAGCATGGTATGCAAATAATATCTAAGGGTTGCAGAAATGAAGAGGACCGTTCATCCCATAGAAGAGTTTCAGCATTTCCAGATATTCAGGAGTATGTATTTATAAGTACAACCAGTGCACAAGAGTAGTGTCAATCTGCATTTCCTTCCAACAACCAATAAAAAAGTACATCTTTTTCCCTCCACAACTATATTTTCTGTTTTTAAGGACATTTCCTTTATCCTTTGGAGAGTAGTATAGAGATGTGACTGTGTAGTGTCCATGGCTTCGGTTACCAATCTTAGTGCTTAATTAACACACCTTGTTGCATGATCTGATCGTTTAAATATATTATTTGAACAAAATACACGAAACAGATGTTGGAATGCTACAAAGTACAATGCACAAGGTGAGCCTTTTAGTACTTCTAGGAATGCCTCAAAAGTCCCATTGGGTGGCAGGGATCTTCTAGGGAAAGGGATCTTCTAGGGATCTTCCTTGTACAAATGGGAGCTGTGTGAGCTTCAGGCTCTGAGGACTCCAAAGGGGTTGGAGAAAAAAAAAAGAGATCTTGTTATCTTCAGACTGCACCGTTATGTTTTGGCATTGGAGAAGTACTTTTTGGTAACTGCTACATAATGCCAGAATCAGCACAAATAAATTCAGTTCAACAGCTGTGGATTCTTTTCTACTTGTACTAGATTCTTCAGCGGTAAATAAAGTCACCATGATTTTCTTAGACTGTGGGTGGCAATACCTTTAAAAGCAACGTCCTGCCTTTATATTTCTCTAGGTGCAGCAGGTGCTCCTGGTACTCCTGGTATTCCTGGTATGCCAGGCCGCAGTGTTAACATAGGTTATCTTCTTGTGAAGCACAGCCAATCTACTCAAGAGCCAATGTGTCCAGAGGGCATGAGGCAACTTTGGAGCGGCTACAGTTTATTGTACTTTGAAGGACAAGACAAAGCACACAACCAGGATCTCGGTATGCATTTTACCTGCTTAGTAAATAATACATTGCAAAACAATTTTTAAAAAGCATTTCAATAAACAAAAAAACAGAATAGCTATTCATTGTCAGATAACAAAATAGAAATTGTGTACTAGATTGGTTCCGGGGTTTTACAATGGCATAAACTCATTACAGACCATTTCAGCAGTTGCATGGATTATTATCCTGAAAGAAGAATATTTCCACCACGGCTGGACCAATATTAAACATCTGACAGGCAGACAGAGTAAAAGAAACTAATGTAAAAGGCTTCAAAGGTGACAGTGTCCATTCATAAGATAGTTCTTGAACATGAGGCAAAAACTCATGCAAGTAATTGAAGACATCTACACGGTTTGTTTCAGACTTACAATCAGTTCTTCTGGAGGATACTGCTGACTGTCTCAAAATAACGTACCAGAAAAATCCATGCAAAGACTGACTACTGTTATCAGTGCTATCGCTATTACTACTTATTGTTACTGTTATTATTTAGATTCATATCTTTTTTCTTAAAGAGCCGAATGCACTTTCTATAACAGTCTGCTTCATTTTATGTCCAAAACAATTCTGTGAAATAGGCTGAGCTCTGAGAGAAAATGACCCTAGCGAGTTTCCATGGTTTGAGGGTGGACTTGCAGCTAGATTATCTAGTCCAACACTTCAATCCCTACCTCACATTAGTTTAAACTTCCTTCCCCAGAGGGGCCAAAAGTCCTGCCACTTCCACCATTTCCTGCTCCTTCTCTGCCTCCTGCCATTTTCTCCTGCAGGGGACTTCAACATAGAACATAAAATCGTAGGGCTGGAAGGGACCCTGGAGGTCTTGTAGTCCAACCCTCTGCTTCTTTGATTCTTCTCTTTGATAGGCTAGACATACCTAGTTCTTTCAACTGTTCATCATATGATTTAGCCTCCAGACCCTTTATCATCTTTGTTGCTCTTCTCTCCATGCTTTCTAATGTCTCAGCATTTTTTATGTATCATGGTGATCAGAACTGCATGCCCTATTCTATGTGTAGCCTCACTAGTCCAGTATAAAGCGGCATTATCGCTACTCAGGATCTTGATACTAATTCCTCTGTTCCAGTGGTGGGATTCTACTGGTTCGGGCCGGTTCAAGCAAACCAATAGTAAAAAATGCTATCGTTCGGCCGAACCGGTAGTAAAAAAAACCAGCTACCGGTTCAACTAAACCAGTATTTTTTTCCTCCCAATGATCAGCTGTTCCAATGATCAGCTGTGCCAAGATCCCCCTCACTTTCTTACTGCTTCGCCCAGGCCCAGGAGGACAAAAAATGCTGCCCCACGCTCCCTTTTTTGCCTTCCTTGGCCTCAGAGAAGTCTTATGGGAGCAAAAATAGCCTCCCCAGGAGACTTTCCTGAGGCCCAGGAGGCCAAAAAAAAAATGGAGTGCGGGGGGGGAGGGTTGCTGCCCCCCCCCAAAAGAAGCCATGCCCACCCAGTCACATGCCCACGCCCACCTAGCCACGCCCACAGAACCAGTAATAAAAATATTTGCATCCCACCCATGTTCTATTCATATAGCCCAGGACTGCATTGGCATTTTCGGCAATTGCAGCACATTGCCTGCTCATACTTAAGTGGTGATTCACTTAGAACTTTAGATCTTTTTCACCTGTTGAGCCAGGTACCACCTATTCTGTACCTATGTGTTTGGTTTTCCCTGCCTAAGTGTAGGACCTGACTGAAAATTAACATTAGAGAAATTATAAAAAAATATCCTCGGGGGTGGAAGCATTCTGGATGTTCGCTGAGTTCTCAAATATATTAACATTTCCCATTTCCAATCTTTCACAGGGAAGTTTCTGAAATATTTCAGAAACTTCAGAAGTATCTACTAGTTTGGAAGACAACCTTTATTGTTTTAAACCTCCAGAACAAAGTTCTGGAGACACATTGGTGATTATTCTCTGTCTTTATTCTTGTAGGGCTGGCTGGGTCATGTTTGGCTCGATTCAGCACCATGCCTTTCCTTTACTGCAATCCGGGAGACGTCTGCTACTATGCAAGTCGTAATGATAAATCCTACTGGCTCTCAACCACAGCCTCTCTTCCAATGATGCCTGTGGTAGAAGAAGAAATCAGGCCTTATATCAGTCGCTGTTCTGTCTGTGAAGCTCCTGCTCTTGCCATTGCTATTCACAGCCAAGATGTTACTATTCCTCACTGTCCTGAAGGATGGCGCAGTTTATGGATTGGTTACTCTTTCCTCATGGTATGTGCTTTTTTTCATGACTGGGGTACAAGTTCAGAATGCTTTTAAAATTACATTTGTCTCCTATTTTATGTAAGTTTATTTACTTATGGGTGGCTGCCTCTCTCACAAAATTGAAAATCTGGCTGGCAAACATGTGTTTAAAAGTAAGAACAAAAAGAAACTAACAGTAGAAACAACCCCCAATAGGTGGATTTTTATGGCTGTGATAGGCAGGCCTGTAGCCATTTGTCAGGCCCAAAACCAAGAATGACACTTGACGGTTCTTCCAAACTGACTTCTTTATTGTTTCACCCCTATAGATCAGGGGTCCCCAACCACCGGTCCGCGGACCGGTACCGGGCCGCGGAACAAGCCTTACTGGGCCGCTGGTTGCTGGGCGCCGCCATCTTTTTTTGGTAAAAAAGTGCTTCTGGTGAGCTTTTCCGGGTAGAAAGCTCACCGGAAGCACTTTTTCATCAAAAAAAGATGGCGGCACCAGCACTTTCGGTGAGCTTTTCTGGGTAGAAAGCCATTTCTACCCGAAAAAGCTCACCGGAAGCGCTGGCGCTGCCATCTTTTTTGACGAAAAAGTGCTTCCGGTGACATCACCGGAAGCACTTTTTCGTCAAAAAAAGATGGCGGCGCCCAGTTGACGCCGGTACCGGGCCGCGGCGCCCAGCTGATGCCGGAACCGGGCTGCGGCGTCGAAAAGGTTGGGGATCACTGCTATAGATGAAATGTTGCCAGACTGAGGACTCTGCTGTCTACAACTACCATATACTCTGTGAACTATTAGGAAGACTCTGTCTTCACCCTCTTTCTTTCACATATTGCAGCATCTAAAATGGGTTGCCTCTTACTTCCCTGGAATACAACATCTCCCTGCTGGGAATCCACCACCTCAGTACTTTGCGTCAATTCATCCTTTCATAGATACAGGCTGGATTTAGTTTTCTTTGTCATGGTTTACAGGTAGTTCTCAACCTGAGACCACAATTGAACCCAAAATGTATGCTGCTAAATGAGAAATTTGTTAAGTGAGTTTTGCCCCATTTTACAACTTTTCTTGACACATTTGTGAAGTGAATCCCAGCAACTGTTAAAGTAGTAACACAGTTTTTAAGAGAATCTGGTTTCCCGGTTGACTTCGTTAGAAGGTTGCAGAAGGTGATCACATGACCCCAGGACACTGCAACCGTCATGAGTCCGTGGTCAAACATCCAAATGTAAATCGCATGACCATGGGGATGCTGCAATGGTCATAAGTATGAAAAATAGGCGTCACTTTTTTCAGTGCTGTTGTAACTTCGCACGATTGTAAGTTGAGGATTACCTGTATTGTGTACAGTTGACCAGGTTCACATAGAACACTTAAGCTCTAACTTATGTTTTAGGATCAGGGTTAGAATTCCATGTCATGCGAAATTATGAATTGTACACATCACTTTTCTCTCTTCTTGCTTCCCATATTATATAGCTTTTTACTACAAATGGCCTTTTGTTTTCTTCCAACTGGAGATTTAACCCTTCTCATATCAATGATAAACCCTCTTCCGAATGTAATGACTAGATATTTTTCAAAAGCTTTCATTGATATCTATGGGTTTAAAAATAAAAAAGACTATGGGGCAAATATGAAGTCCATAAATTTATGATCCTACTTTATGTTCTGTTTATTTTTCTGTTTATTTATTCACCCTTATAAGAAGTAAAAACATCGGCACAATATCATCGGAGTTCCAAGCATTTAGAATAAATTTGAAAAACGTACAGGTCCATAAGTTTGCCATATTAACTTATTAAAGCATATATACTAAATATTGAAGGTATAAGCGCTTCGATTACATTTATTTATTTATTTAATTAATTAATTTCCAATAGCCACCCATCACAATGTTGTAGCTGATTATACAATGGCTTATTTAGATATAATTTCAGACAGCATAGTACTCTTCCTACGTTAGACTGCATTAGTTTCAGAAAACATGGAGTCTGACATGGGGAAAATAACTGCCTAGAATGGGTCATGTATATAGAACATCTCTGAAAAGGACTCCTGCATTTTCCCACATTGATTTTCAGTTCATAAATCTGGTGCATTAAGCTTCTCGTTGCAAAATTCAACACCAGTCAGATAAAAAAGTGAAATCATAATGGCCATTACGACAATAGCTTATCTGTGTTTTAACTCTGAAATGATACCGTGTTTCTCATATAATAAGGCCGGGTCTTATTTTTTTTTGAGCCCCGAAAAAATGGTTAGGCTGTCTTTTTGGGGGTGACTTAATTCCCCCCTAGCATCTTCGGGTGGGCGGGTGGCGACGGCTTGGATGTTGACCTCGGCGTTGGTGGGGCACTTCGTATCGGGGTCAACGCAGGCAGCACCATATCTGGGTGTGCAACAAAAGTACTTCCTAACGGCAAGCCCCACCACCACTCCCCCCCATTTCGCATGTTTTAATATAGGCCTTAATTTGGGGGGAGGGGCTTAATTTCATTTCATGCCTATAAAACATGCTGGGACTTCCTATTGGGGGGGGGGCGTATTGTTGGAGAAACAGGGTAGCTGTTAAAAGAAAGGGGGGGACAATACTGGGCATATGGAACCTTTGTTACCCCTCACTTGATTTATATCCCTCCTTCCCTGAGATGAAAGCTAGCATATGAAAAGTCTCCTCTCATTTTTATGATCACCACTACCTGTAATGTGCTTTTGTATTATATTTGAATTGTTATTTGGTTTCTTCTAGCACACTGCAGCTGGTGCCGAAGGAGGAGGGCAGTCACTGGTTTCTCCAGGTAGCTGCCTGGAAGACTTCAGAGCCACACCATTCATTGAATGCAATGGTGCTCGGGGGACCTGCCACTACTTTGCAAACAAATACAGCTTTTGGCTTACCACCATTGACCATCATTTTCAACACTCACCTTCTTCAGATACTCTCAAGGCTGGACTCATCCGAACACATATAAGCAGATGCCAAGTGTGTATGAAAAATTTGTAAAATAACCCCCTCCCGCCCACCCCCCCAAAAAAAGAAATAAGTCACTTTAAAGTGGCATGGATTAGATTTTGTTGGTGCTTATTTAACTTATTACCTCATCGTTTGAACACCATTGTTATCTGGAAGAACAAACACTGCAAGTACATATAACCAAGCAATTGTTCAGCCTTTGTTCATGTATTTGTGAGTTTGCTTTTATATGCTGCAAATAATACAGTCAGTTATGGGAATAAAACAATAGACATAGTTTCATTATTAAATACAGTTGCTGTCATTTAAGTCTGATTTACTGTCAAATGATATTTATCTTTTTTTTCAATGTATTACTGAACACTACTAACTCTTAATCATTAAGTATTAAATATTTAAAAACAAATGCAAACTATGTTAGAATTTAGGATTTTAAACTGTATTTAGCAAACTCATATTGTTAAAATGCAAATGCCATTTCAACATCCTCAAAACTGTCAAAAAATAAGCTGTATGCTTGCTCTAAGGGAGTCCTGTTTTAGCTGAGGTCTTTGGTTACAAATCCAACAGAACTACAATTTTTGTAACTGAAGGAAACATGCATGGAATATACTTTTGTTATATTTCAAGGCCTTTATTTTTATACATTGTTACTTTATTAAACACCATGTTGCTATTAGCGCGTAATTATTTCAAAAGTCTGCAGAGAATGAACAATAAGCTTATTTATGTGTCACTTGACTTTTTTTGACTGCAATCTTATATAATTCTATGCAATACCCTCAATGGATAGACATAGCCCATTAGACCAGAATTCACGTATCTTAATATTACTTTAGCGTGGCTTGGAGATAAACTATCTATGGCCTTTTAGATGTTTATATTCTAGCTGGATTGATGAGAGATGGTGGTTTGAAATCCATATCTGAAGGTACTTTGCCTAATTCTGTTCAGCCATTGCTGGGTATCGCAGAATCTATGTGATAATAATCTCATAATTTCAGGAATAGCAAAAAAGGAAGCTTTTCCAATTGCAATTATAGCTGCAGTCAAGAAACACCCCACTAGAGAGTACCATTTAGTAAGCTTTGTGAGTGTCCGTACTTAGGAATGTGGCATTTGTCATTCTTCCCAATATAAGGATGATAAGAGAGACTCAATTAGTATCACATTCTTGGGAGGGAAGTGAGTGACAGAAAAGGCATCTCTGCCCAGAAAGAATTAGGACTGTGCCTGGGAAAGTGAGAAACACACTTTTCTCATAGCAGTGTAATACCAAAGCTGTGATTATGTGCATACTTAACTGTACAAATGAAGCCCGACTGGCTTCCAAGTAAACATGCATAAAATTGCTGAGTAAATCAGTTTCTATCCCCAACTCCTTCACCAGTACGGACAAGCAGATGAAAAGGAGACAAGAGTTACAGAACCTCAACGCTGCAAGTGGCAACGACCTTCTTTTGGTGGCAGGCATATTAGGGCAGCTGCCCAGACTAACCTGTAATTGGGCACTTGGGACTTCCCACTGTTTTCCGGAGTGTTTCCTTCCCAAGCCAAATCTTGAAAAAGAAATGCTCAAATTTCCTTTCATGTGTTTCTCCTTTGTACTTAGGATCAGAGTGTTTTATTTTGTATGATAAATAAAAGTATCAACTTTTCCTTATTGAACTAGTACGGGTTTTCTAAGACATGACCTAAATCCTAACAAGAGAAAAAGAATCGCATGTGAAGAAACAACCCATATATGAAGTGACTTGAAGGGGGCAGGACAAAAGAATCATCCAGGGAGTTGGCCCTGACATTCCCAACTTCACCATCCAGCAAACTGTAGCAGCAAAGAGGCTGCGTTGGAAATGTGCATATATATATATCTAAAGCGTCACTTTAGATGCAGAGCATGTAATCACACATTCAAATCAATTTAAATTCTTCACATTTAAGGAAATTCTGTTAGTCTATTTCTTACATATCTGATAAAGACTGAAAAGGTTTCAGAATTAGATGAGCACTATGTGGATTTAGAAGCCCAGTGAATTTTTATGGATTTCCAGTCCGAGTCCTTCAGTTTCCTCTCAATTCTCTTTACTATTAAAATCTATTTCCCCCAAGTATGAGCTCAGCCCTGTTATTTGTTGCCAGGACTCAGTCCTAAAATAAATACCATAATAATGTACCATATTTGGGGTTCACACACAATATATATATAATCCAGGCATAATTTAGCCCATAATCTCTAGTTTTTATCAATTATTGTCACAAAAGTAGTTAGTAAAGTTTATTGCTAATAGTCTAAAAACAGGCAGAGGTAAAAGAGCTGCTTTGTGTCAATAGATTGTTTGATCAGCCTCAAAGTAATTTCTTTCATGTTCAGAAAATGTGGAAATAATTGCAGAATTTTAGAAAAACTAATTTTCCTAACAAGAAAAAGTTCAAGTTGCTATTTTTATATATTTCCTCAACAACAGTCCTGAAAAAATCACTGCTATCACTGATACATTGTTATCACTGATTACAACCAAATTACTTAATAATTTTGACTGTCTTATCAAGTTTCCTGTTATACATACTGCAATCATCTTCATAACAAAACATATCCATTTTCTTCCCTGTCCTCATAAACTTTTACAAATCGATGTTCCCCCTAGCCATCTACTCATATCCACTTTTACGACTCTATTAATTATTCATAATTTAACAAAAATATGCTTAAATAATTTCACCAGAATCTGATCTACTAACAACTAAAAACATTTACTGATTTAGAACATAAATAATTCATCAACTCCCTGGAATTTCAAAAATTGAAGCTAATACAGGCATGATATTCCCCTCTGAAAAAAAAATCGGGGCCGGCCAAGAGACCCCCCACCGCCCGCCGCTCGCCCGCCCGCCCGGGCTCAGCTCGCGCTGCCCGCCGCCCGCCCGCCCGGGCTCTGCCCGGGCGATTCCCCAAAAAATCGGAATTCCGATTTAAATCGGAATTCCGATTTTAATCGGAATAATATCATGTCTGCTAATAGTACAATTATAAACATTATTAGTCCCAATACCACCAATTCACCACTGAGTTAAGATTAACCTAAAACTGCAGACTACTTCGTGAATTTCTTTAGGTGCATTTTATTATAGGGGAAATGGGAATAAATTTTTTGCCTAACAACATTTATAGTGACACTAATACAATTCTATTATAAAAAGGAAATTATGATTTTCCTTTTTGCTCTGGCTCCCAGTGGCCACAACCATGAAATTAATGAGGCGAGAGAAAAGGGAAGAATTAGTTTGCTACAATTCTTTATTTTGCTGAAAAAGTATGGTGTGAAATGACTGATCAACATCTACCTCCTTCCTGAAATCTATTTCTTCATTTATAAATTCCTCCTTACGACATAGAGAATGCCACATATCAAAAGATACTTGCCAAAATAGTTACTACAGATTCGTGTGTAAAACAGCATACAGTATCATAAATTTAATGTGAAGGGGGCAAAAAAAAACCCACAATTAATGGGCTTTAAAAGCTTTCAATGATTGACTCCAAGCTCCCCTTCACTGAAGTTTTTTTTTTCTCATATTTTTTTCTCATTTAATTGTTACAAAAATCCATTCTTATAGAAGATGCAGTTTGTCTGGTTGGCCTTGTTATTTTTGCATTGTCTTTATTCAACTTTTTTTTTTTCAGTATTGTAACACTTTCACATTGTTGTTAACACTTTCCTGCACTGTCCTTCAATTAGTGTAAAAATGCATTCGGAGTCATCTGCAGCATCCAGAGTGTGTGCTTTTAGCAGTCTTGCAGTTATTTAAGTCTACTGTTTGTGGCAAGCCTTCAGCTTTTTGTTGCAAAATTACTGGTACTATCATTTCAAATACAGTTTCAAAAAGATGGTCCACATTATAACCAGTTTTTGCACTAGTTTCAAAACACATTTTTTCCGCTGCTGGGGCATTTACCTCATTCAACATTTTATACTTGAGGATCTTCCTATAAAATGCTGCAGCATCATTCATATGGACTTGTTTTTTCACCTTTGTAGAAATGGAACTGTTTGAAGGCTTCTCAAACCGATGCTTGTCTTCTGGTTCTGGCAAAGAGGTACACGCATCTGTCAGGTCAACTTTGTTCCCGGCAATAACAAAGAGACAATCTGGGCTGGCGGAATCTGTCAATGCCAAGAACCTATCCTCAAGTTCCACCATGCTCTGTAAGTTAGTTACATCATACGTGAGAATAACAGCGGCTGCTCCTCGGCAGTACATGGACCCAAGGCCGTGGAACTGCTCGCGACCTGGAAGAAAGATCACAATAACTGAAAGATGATTAAGAGGACCGGAAGCTAAAGCATATGAAGAATGGTTGCAGGAACTGGACATGGCTAGTCTAAGTGAAGAGAAGGACCAGGGGAGACACGATAGCAGTCTTCCAATATCTCAGGGGCTGCCACAAAGAAGAAGGGATCAACCTATTTTTCAAAGCACCAGAAGACAAGACAACCAACCGATGGAAACTAATCAAAGAGAAAGGCAACCTGGGATTAAGGAGAAATTTCTTGACAGTGAGAACAACTGATCAGTGAGTGGAGGGGCTTGCCTTCAGAAGCTGTGGGTGCTCCATCACTGGAGACTTTCCTGCAGACTTTTTTGGGGATTTCCCCAGTCTCTGCTGCTTTCTGCAAAGACCTTGGAAAAACGTCAGCAAGCCACCGTCAGTCAAAATTCATATTAGTGGTCCGCAGGATTTAAAATTATGAGTTTGGTGGTCCCTGAGGTTCAAAAGGTTGGGGACCCCTGGACAAGAAGACCTCCAAGGTTACTTCCAACTCTGTTTTCTGTTAAGTAAAGAATACTGGCTTGACAATAACAATAGTCTAAGTATGAATTTCCTAATTTTTCTGACAGTTTTGTTCTACTTTTGCAACAACTGAAAACTCACAGCAAGCAGACCATGAATTCACCTTTGAACTGGACAGACTTTGGTTAATGCAAATCTCTCCCCCTTATACTGTCCAGCAAGATAAGGAAACTTGGCCCACCAGGCCACCCTAATATATAATCCCCCAAAGTGGCTGCTGCTGCCATTCCATAATAAATGCTAAAAATCCTGCATACAGTACTGTTACTGACGCAATAGGGTCAAAGCTTCTTTTGGAAAAGCTGCTTAAGTTACACCAGAAGCCCAAAAAAACCTCTTGGATGTTCCAAAACAAAAGCTGAAATGTGGGGCCTAAAGTAAAACAGGAGCCAGGCGCTGGAGTGAAAACTCTTCCAGGGAACTGAGCGGCCGCGGTGCCGGAAAGCCAAACAACCGGATCGAGTCGGCCGCTCAGCTCCCACGAACCCCGCAGAAGGGCTCCTCCGACCGCAAACGCTGACTTCCCGCGGCGGAGGTAGTCTGCGCGGCCAGCAAGCAACGGTGGGCGTGTCGGGCTGCTTTCCCGAAGTTGGCAAAGTTAGCCGAGCGCGGCTTGGCGCCTCTTGTCCCGCGCGGTCTGCTCGGCCTCGGAGGCGCAACAGGGAGAGCCAACGACCCCCCACCCCCGCCGCGCCACTGGGAAAAAGAAACCGACGTCGCCCCAGTCCCCCTTCACCTGCGGTGTCCCAAACCGAGATGTTGTGAGGGCCCCACTGCTTGAGGTAGAAGGCGCCCCCGACGGTGCTAACGGTGTCCTGGAAGCGCCGCTCCATGTAGCGGTGGAGCAGCGACGTCTTGCCCACGTTCATGTCGCCCAGCAGCACCACCTTTCCGTCGGGCTTCATGTTGTCCCGCCGGGCGTGATGGCGCAGCCCCGTCCTCCCTGCCCTCCTGGAGTTCCTCGGAGAAGAGAGGTGGAGTTGCGCTTTCGCTCCCCTCCGAGGGCGGAGGTGAAGAAGGGAAAAGGAGGAGGGCGCAGGGCGATCGGCGGCGAAAGCCCTACGGGGAGAGAGTTGGGCGCTCCGGCGAGGGCCGCGCTCGCCTCCTTCTCCCGGGAACGCGGTTAAGCAAGTAACGCTGACGAAGATGGCTCGGCCATGGTTTGCTTAATCGTGATTTACTGACTAAACCTCAGCAGAACTGTGGATGGCAAAGGACAGGGACTGGGTTCCTAGCACAACTGTCAAAACCGAACAAGCTCCGTTATGACAATACTCTTTTAGACTAGCGTACTTCTGTATTAAGTTTAAAGACGTGACAGAATATTTCAAAATGGTATCAATGGGGAAATATTAAGTAAAATAAGTAGCTCACTCTCATATCCACCCCCCACACACACAAAGTTGCAGTATAAATTGCCTCATTTCCTTTTATTTCTTTGACCCATTACATCCCCTTACAAAATTTATCTCTCACAACCCTTTCTCTAATTCTAATGTAATTTTTTTTTCCAATCAGAAAGCTCTCATTTTCTTCGAAGATTTCTTTAGTGTAATTTGAAACGAGTAAGTCATACACTGAATATAAATGATTTTACTTTTAAGTAAATATCCATAGGATTGTTATACACCATGAAAGAGCAACAGTTTGATAAGAAAAACTGAATAATTAAGTGAAAAATTAGATACAATGTAGTCTTTAACTTATGACCATAATTGAGCCTGCAATTTTGGTCTAAATCATGGTGGTGATTAAGCATGTGACTGATTTTACTACTGATTACCATGTGACTGATTGTATATTGTATGTTGAATCCTTATGAAGGAACCCATGCAAAATGTTTCTTTTACAAGAAGTCCGTTATATAACAAGATGTATCTTTTTTCTTCTTATGGAATATGCTAATTTGGCCTGTGCTGGCTGTGGAAAAAAGTCTGAAATACCAATGGAAGTCAAACAAAAAATCAGAATCTTAGCTTGTGTTTATATAATATTGAGGTTGTGAAGAGTTGACAGGACTTAGCGACTGGACAATAACATATAATACTGGGAGACCCATCAGATGATCACTCATGCCTTGGTGACCATCAGGGGTAGGATGCAAATATTTATACTACCGGTTCTGTGGGTGTGGCTAGGTGGGTGTGGCTAGGTGGGCATAGCCATGTGACTGGATGGGTGTGGCTTTGGGGTTGTTGTTTTTGCAGCACCCCCTCCCCCATACTCCATTTTTTTGCCTCCTGGGCCAGCTGATCATTGGAATAGCTGATCATCTGGAGGAAACAATACTGGTTTGGCCAAACTAGTAGCTGTTTTTTTTACTACCAGTTCGGCCGAACGGTAACATTTTTTGCTACTGGTTCGCCTGAACTGGGCCAAACCGGTAGAATGCCACCACTGGTGACCATCTGATTATTGCATTATTGCATGTGTAGTACATGGGCTGCCTTTGAAGTCTGCCTGGAAGCCAGTGGTGGTATTCTACCGGTTCCTGGGCTCCCATATTCACTTTTATCCTTTGAATTTGAAGCACAGCAGCTTTGCGCAGCACGGAAGAGTGCCGTGCGGCAGCTACTGAAGCAACCAGGATTGTGCAGGCAGGCTTGCAGGAGTTAGAACGCCTCTGCGCCTGCATAAACACCTCTGCGCCTGCACAAAGTGCGTATTTGGTGCACATGCGTACGCAAAGTGTGTGCATGCATGCAAAGCGTGCTCATCAAGCCATGCCCACTGAACCGGTGGTAAAAATATTTGAATCCCACCACTGCTGGAAGCTAAGCTCATTCAAAATGCATGGACCCCTTTCAAAGTCTCCATGTATCACCACTACTATGCAAGCTGCACTGGCTGCTGGTCAGCTTCTGAGTGCAATTCAAAGTGCTGGTTGTTACCTATAAAGCCCTGCCTGGCAGAGAGACTGAATACCTGGGGGACCACCTTCTTCCAGTCATTTCTGTCCACCCAGTACACTGTGGCAGAATGGGTGTGCTCCAAGTCCCCACCATTAAATGTAGTCATCTTGTGGAACCAAGCAAATGCACCTTCTGTGCACCAGACCTTATCCACCCAAAGATCAAAACTGCACCATCTCCAGAAAGCTCTGAAAACTTGGCTCTGGTCCCAGGCCTGTTAATCTTTGTCCAGGGCTTTGCTTTGTTTGATTTTTGTTGTCTGTAAGATTATTTCAGTCTGGGCTGTCTATTTGGTTTAATATTTTTATCTATTTTAATGTTTTTTCTAGTTTTTTTTATGCTGTCCAGAATAACCAGTTTAGATGATTATTAACCCTGTTATAATTTCATATTGTTGGATCTGGCAGTACCCAAATATAATAGCTAAGGGTTACTAGTTTAAGAAATGCAAAGCCCCTACCTGCTTAACTCCAATCCTGCCTCTATCAAAACGATAGATAACACCCATCTTCCCTTAACCTTTCCGTGAGAGATGTTACATTATGTTATGCTCCTGTGTGAGCAGTTTTTACATGACCTCTACTTCGGGGGGGTGGGTGGAGGAATTTCATTTATTTTTCACAGTGTATAACCTGCCCAGTGCCCTATGAGCCATTTCATTCTACAGTAAGGGCTAGGTTTTATAATGTCACTATCCTCTTCCCCATCAGCTGGGGTAAAGGAGCTGAATTTATTCAGCTGTATCCTATAGGGTGGCTGAGAGGAGTTTTTCTGGTGACACTGGAGTAAATAATATTTAATTTTGAAAGTCCAGAAATAAAAAGAGGGAGGGCAATTGAAGGACTGTAATTCAGAAACTATAAAAGAAAATAATTACTCTTAGTAATTGTATAACTATTTTAGTACCTTGGTAGATTCTTGGAAAAATGATAAAAGATATTCCAAGGCCACCTGATATCAGTAGCTGCAGGGGTGCAGGAGGAAGCTGCTATTGCCTTCAATTCTTGTTGCAGGTTTCATACATGGTCAGCAATTGTGCAAGAGTTATTATGAGTTTTGCTTGATCCAGTGCAGCTCATTGTACCCTGTGGTGAACTTCATGCCTTGTACATGTACATGTAATCATATACATTATGTGAAGCCAGTTTCCTTTTGAGGAAAAGAGGGAAGCCAAGTACAGTAGGAACACAGCCATTCTTGTCTCTCCTTGTCCTCTGACCACATCACACATCCCCATTACACAGTCAGTGTGATGCTTTCTTCCTTTTTCTTTCAGCATAAAGCAAAATCAGTTGCTAAAGGCTACAGACCTCATGTTCTTTGCAGATGCTTTTTAAAGGCACTGATTGGCTCATGCTGAACTTTCAATCACATATTTTGGGAAGCTCTCCCCCTCCCCCCAAGAAGAATGAAATATTTTAGTGAATATTGAAAGAAGCAGAATATAATATTTCCCCAAAGGGAGAAATGTAGAAACATGCTCAGCAGCCCCCAGTTCTTCTTAATAGCCTACAGCAGATGCCCATTAAGAAATCCTGGGCCAGCCTATTCACAAAATACCTTCTCCTCCAGGTGATGGGATTAAGGACGGGACATGACCTTAACCACATTCATTGAGAAAAGTGGAAAATTACAAAATGCTATAAAAAAATGAATTGTTGGAAGAAACATCCTTCTGAGTTCAGTTCCAAGTGGGGAAGAAAGACACTGGAAACATGGAGGCTGTTTGGAAAGATGGTTTAATGGTGGACAGCAGGACCGCATGGCCTGGAGCTCCAAAGAAAGAATGATCACATGCTTCAAGATGAAGAAGGAAGGGCTGATATGCCGAGTGTGTCTGGGTTTTATACCCTCTGTTGGGATTTGAATTTGAGCTTGTATTCTGATTGGTTGTCAGACTCCCATGGGGCCATGCAGGAGCAAATCTGTAGGCTGTCCTGAGTCCCAGGCTTGGTTGAGCCATGCTGGATCATGATGTAATGAAAGGGCTTTGGGCAATTCCTATAGCTCTACTTGGAGATCTTTGTTATGTAAAATAGGCAGGCCTAGGCCAGAGTAATGGCCCATTAGCAGAGTTTCTGCTTCTTCAGTTTCTACTCTTTTTAGGGGAAATATTCTGCCTTTTTAATATTTCCTAGGATATTTCATTTTTCTAGGAGTGGGGTGGGTGCTAACTTCCTACAGTATAAAAGCCCATGTAAAACCAAACCAATTGGTCAGCTGCCCCAGAACTGCACGGTGTGGTTCTGTTGATCAATAAACAGTCTTTCTTTCCAATCAGCCTCCATGTTATTTCCAGTGTCTAACTGAACCAGATGATTTTCCTTCCAGCAATATCTAATGAGCAGCAATTGTATTTTCCTATGTTACAATTATTAGGATGTTATTTGTATCTGCTGCAGCTCTTGTGCAATTCATAATATGGGTAAGTTTTTGGCTAGGCCAGCTCTGGAAAACTTTAGATGGCAACAACAGAGACTTAGGCTGCCTTATATCTCTTTCCTTCCATTTGCTGTCCATACAGGTTTTTGCAGGTGTTTGTTTTGCAATTCTCGATCTACTTGGTTTCCCAATATTTTTTTCTGCCACCAAATATTTTGCATACTATATCTCCTTTGATTCCTAAACAGTAAACTTGCTAGTTCAACATTCAACAGGAGCTATACTGTGATATTAAACAAAGGGGGGTGGGGGACCCTCGTATTTGAAATGCTAAAACATTTCTTTAAAGCATTAAAGACTTTTAAAGCGTTTTGTCTGAAGATGCAGACCCGGTCCCTGCTCAAACGGCGTCGCTTTACGGGGTTGCTTCAAATAGCCTCTTCCCGCTACTTAAAAGTCTGTGTGCAACGCTGACGTATGGCCTCGCTTTGTAGTTGCTGGAGTGTTTGTAAAAGAAGCCAATGCTTATTTTGAATCGCCTCTTTTCACCTGCAATAAAGCGATACTAACAAAACCCAACGCGGAGCTCTTAAACGTCTTTCCCCCCCGATTTCCGATACGCGCTCGTCATTTCCGACAAAGAGGGGTGGCGTCGTGAAACCTTCCCGTCCAGTTTTCCTTGCCCAGTTCTTGTCTTAGAGCCGCTGTTCCCGCGCACTCTCTCGGCCGCTGGTGCAGACGACGGACTTAGCGCGGGGCGGAGGGACGCTGCCATTCCTCCCGGCTTTTTGTCTTTTGGCCTCTGGTGACGTGGACTCCGGGTTCGGTTTTGCTCGGCTGAACAAAGTCCGGCCAGGGCGGCGTTTGCGGTCGAGGCCTGGGCCGCTCCAGGAAAAGCCGACGCAATGAAAGGTAGCGAGGGGCGGGAACCGGGACCCAGGGAGGGTTGCTGTAAAATGAAAGCGCCACGTTTGAGACGTTGCCTTTGGAACGGAATTTATTTATATATTTTTATAAACGTTTCCTTTAATATGAATATATTAAATATTAATATTAAATATTAATATATATTTTCTTAAGTTTTCGCGGGTACTTACATGTATGGTATTCAGCTTTGTTCGGGTATTTTCCCACGTCATTGTAGTTGTGCTTTTAAAGTTGTAGCAACGTTTCGGCAGAATCTCATCTGCCATTATCAGGCTTCTGTATTGTGTTCATCTGTGTGTGTGTGTATGTATGTATGTATGTATGTATGTATGTGTATATAACATACATATATATATATACATATGCATACATATATATATATATATAAAATATACATATACATATACATCACATACACACACACACACACATTTATATATATAATATACATATACATATATATACATATACACACACACACACATTAACTCAATATATTTTGATTATCGATTAGCAACAAACATAACACCCAAGACGTGCATGCATTTTAGTCACGGATATGGAAATGATTTATAGCCTATTTTTAAAGCGGGATTTTATGCTGTGTTTAATGCACGTTGAATATCTTCTGTTAAAACCATGCCACGTCATTTCTCATCCCTCCCCAGGGAAGGGAAAAATTCCATAATTTTATATATGCTTTGAAAAAGCACCTTGCATTGTTTAGAATTTTCCACCGTTCTTCACTGTTGGGTAAATTGTACTTTTCCATGAAGGAGAAATAATTTCTTTTCTCTGTACACAATACATATTGTATATCGTGCCAACTTTTTAAGTCTATGTAGTATGCATTCATAGGTGTTTATTCTAATCCATGCTGGGGAGTGAGGTAGGATTAGGATGTCGGCTGTTACCCAAAATGTAAACAAAAACTTTTTGTTGTTGTTCATAGTTGACGCAAAAAGGGTGTGGAACCACATGGAAAAAAATAAAGTAGATGATATATTTGAGTGTATCCACAAGGCACTATTGTCTTTGCAGCAGAAGATCAAAGATGGAACTGCAACAAGTGAAGGTTAGACATCTTTATAAACTATCACACCTGAATTGAGAAATTAATGAAACAAAACTTGTATTCAGTTTCACAGATATAATTAGTGATGTTAAGTATCCTGTCCTCTGCAGATAAGTTAACCTTGCAATACTTTGTAATGCTAGGGTTAGAACTGGATACAGCCATGCAGAGATTGCAGCTGAATTTACACTGCTCAAAAAAATAAAGGGAACACAAAAATAAGACATCCTAGATCTGAATGAATGAAATATTCTTATTAAATTCTTTGTTCACTACATAGTTGAATGTGCTGACAACAAAATCACATAAAAATTATCAATGAAAATCAAATTCAGCAACCCATGAAGGTCTGGATTTGGAGTTATACTCAAAATTAAAGTGGAAAAAAACACTACAGGCTGATCCAACTTTGATGTAATGTCCTTAAAACAAGTCAAAATGAGGCTCAGTAGTGTGTGTGGCCTCCACGTGCCTGTATGACCTCCCTACAATGCCTGGGCATGCTCCTGATGAGGTGGCGGATGGTCTCCTGAGGGATCTCCTCCCACACCTGGACTAAAGCATCCCCCAACTCCTGGACAGTCTGTGGTGCACAAGGGGTCTGACGATCTCATCTCGGTACCTAATGGCAGTCAGGCTACCTCTGGCGAGCACATGGAGGGCTGTGCGGCCCCCTAAAGAAATGCTACCCCACACCATTACTGACCCACTGCCAAATCGGTCATGCTGGAGGATGTTGCAGGCAGCAGAAGGTTCTCCACGGCGTCTCCAGACCCTGTCACATCTGTCACATGTGCTCAGTGTGAACCTGCTTTCATCTGTGAAGAGCACAGGGTGCCAATGGCAAATTTGCCAATCTTGGTGTTCTCTGGCAAATGCCAAACGTGGTGTCCTGCATGGTGTTGGGCTGTAAGCACAACCCCACCTGTGGACATCAGGCCCTCATACCACCCTCATGGAGTCTGTTTCTGACAGTTTGAGCAGCCACATGCACATTTGTCTCCTGCCTGTCTCCTGGTAGCGCCTCCATGCTCTGGACACTACGCTGACAGACACAGCAAACCTCCTTGCCACAGCTTGCATTGATGTGCCATCCTGGAGGAGCTGCACTACCTGAGCTACTTGTGTGGGTTGTAGACTCCGTCTCATGCTACCACTAGAGTGAAAGCACCGCCAGCATTCAAAAGTGGCCAAACCATCAGCCAGAAAGCATAGGAAATGAGAAGTGGTCTGTGGTCACCACCTGCAGAACCACTCCTTTATTGGGGATGTCTTGCTAACTGCCTATGCTTTCCACCTGTTGTCTATTCCATTTGCACAACAGCATGTGAAATTGATTGTCAATCAGTGTTGCTACCTAAGTGGACAGGTTTTTTTTTAAAAAAAAATACAGACAGTAATAGCTTTTCTGATTTCCAGCTCTTTGAGGACAGATATCAGCTTAAGTGTGGAACCAGTTAGATAAAAAATTACCATGCCTCCCTTTATTCAGGATATTTATTCTAGTTGATCTTTATATTTATTTGTGTCCCTTACTGTCAGAGTTGACTTCTGAAAAGTCATTGCAGTTTTCTTGGCAACCTTTTTTTTTTTTTTTTTTGGAAATGGCTTGCCATTGCTAGCTACATAGGGTGGAGAAATAGTGACTGGCCCAAACTTACCCTGCCTATGTGAGGAAAAGTAATTCTTGGGCTTTAACAGCTACAAAAAAAAAAAAACCCTTGGGCCTTAACAGCTACACCAAACTGGCTCTCTTGGTCTTTAATAGGAATGTTTTAATTTAGATTCTGCAATCAGCAAATTTGTTGGCCTTGGTGGCTCCTTGCAGTTCTGTTAAAATAAGTAGGAGAAAAAAATCTATCTGCAGATATGGAGCTTCTCTGTTCCAAAATATGTTCCTGTATTTGATGCTAATATGTAACATGCTATAGGTGGTTGGGAATCACATTTAGGTCTCAAAATGTATGGAGGACTTCAGCTAAGAGATATCAATCGAAAGAACGATTTTACTGTTTATTAACATCTACATCATTTTAAAATGCTATATTTCAGTGCAGATTTCTGTTTTTATTTTGAACAGAATGCGATCAAGCTTTGGCACTTGTGAATCAGCTGGGAATGGCTGACCTCTTACCTCTGGTGCATGGTATGAAAAGTCTCATTGCTTTTCTATAACAGATGATGACATGTATTCCTTTCTACAGGCACTAGCCTCTTACCTAGCCAGAAGAAAAAGCCTGAGGAATTACTTTTCCTCACATATTGGCTCTTGGCTGATTTTTCTATAGGGAAATTGAGCCTGATTCCTATTGTCTACTCTCCATATTGGATTTTCCATTCCAGCAGATTCAATACTTGGGTACTTGTGGTTTTAATTTTTCACAAAACATAAACCTGATATAGTCATATCTTATGAGGGACCCAAATTCAAATTTTATTGGGACAGATCAAAAGCTTTGTAGCAAGCATTTTGGGAAAGCTGAAGCCAGTCAATTTATATTCACCATCTCTAGTAGTAAGGCATATTGTTCCCCTGCATTGGGTCAGAATTATATGTTGTCTAGTTCATTGTAATCAAGCTCTTCCTGATTTTGGATAGAAGAATTTACCTAGCATACTGTCTGACCTTTTTAGTGGAGATGACTTTTACATGTGAAGCAGTTGCTTTTCCAATGATACATGTCTGTGGATTTACTAATAGACCTCTGTTAGCAGAATATTATGGAGTCAAATTCTTGCTGGTTTACCTCTTTTAACACTTATTGTTGTTTTACTAAAAGCTGTCTTTATTCATTGTTCATCACTTAAACAGGACAAAGAGTGCTCCTACTGGTGCATCAAATATAAGAGGAATGTGTTGCATCTATTTTGTCCCTAAGCTTGACGTCTAAAAGTACTGAAAAGAAATTCAGCGCAAACTCTGCCCTTCAGATAGGTAAAACCACCAGACTCCATCCTGTGCAAATGTTTTTATGGAGTTGGAGTGGGGACATTGAGGTTTGCTTTCTAATCCCCAAGTTTTTACAATAACAGTTTCATTCTGCATGCATCCTCCAGCTTTTTGTAAGCCTGATAGCGACAGGTTAATTTATGTGCACTGGAGGTGGGCTGTATATTTCATGAACTCTGAGATGAGGAAGAAAAAGTGAATTCCTCTATATTTTGTGGCATGGAAGCATGAGGGTAGTTCATGTATAGTTCATTTTAAACATTAATGCTGTCAGCATATCGAATACAAAAATCTTACAAAGTATGGATGGGCAGAGGTTATATTATAATAATAAATTAACATTTAAAATACTTTTTGCCTGTTTAATGTTTCTGTATTTGCATTAATATTAATTTTAATGATGTGATTAATAGTTTCTTACTTGCTTAATTGTGATAAATCTGAATTGTAATTTTAAATGTATGCTTAAAGTTTTTATGTACTTTTTCCTACTGAAGAAAATAAGCCTATATGCAATCTGGATTTACATCTGTCTACTCCAGGGAAAATTACAGAAGATGCTGGCGATGATTGTTCTCTGTAAGCAAAACTCTATAAATATATAAATTGTCTTTTTGCTGCTTTTATATCTTAGAAGTTGAAATTTCATTTGGAAAGTAAGGTACACTAAACAGATTAGATCTTATCAGACAAAATGACTGCTCTGAATATGAATTTCAGCCTTTCCTATTATTTCACTTTTTGACTATTTTGGATCTTAGTTTATCTTCTCTCTTTAAGATTGTTTTCAGTTTCTGCCTTCCTCTCCTGCACTTCTCTAGTTCATCTTACTGCCTGTTCTTCTGCCCTGTCTTTTCTCCCCTAGAATTTAAAATGCCTTTTGAATGGCAAATACATATTTCTTTTGGATACTAAGGCTGCAGAGCTAAACATTGCTGAACGCTTTATGATCATTGGTAAAGGAATTTGCCTTGAATCTTTATGAGCAAGTCTATGTTGCTCAATCAGCATATGTCAACATAGTTGTTATCAGTTCTCTATTTCATTGTCTGTGGAGATTCTCAGTCATCCTGCCAGAACTGATGAAGTTTCTTGGATGAGAAGCGAAAAATCTTCTTTTCCCTCAAGGAAAAAACAGTCCACTTGTCTTTTAAAACAGCACCTTTGAGATATCTCTGGCGTTTTTCAGCCAATGGCTATGTATGGGTGTCACTAATGGTGCACAGTAGTCTATGTGAGGCACATCCTCCTTCCCCAACCCAGGAAAAAGAGCCCAAAAGAAAAATGGGGAGGTAGGCAGAATTCCTGGTCTCCTATTGAGCATTTGAACACAGCATTTCCTGCAGTCCAGGATTGAATAATAAGGGATTGCACAAGCTTAACTTCCAGAATAAGTTGTTTCACAGTAGTTATCTCTCCCATTATTTGGATGATATGTAGGGGCATAGTCCTTAGATCTATGAGTAAATAGGCTATTCTCCTACTTGGGCAGGTAGTTGTTCAACCCAGGTTAGCTTTTCCTCATTAATTTGCCAATACTATTAATAATACCAGTAATACTGCAATTTTATATGTTTTTAAAATTTACTATCGATGATAATGTGATGAGAATCCCTATAAACATATTTGTATCCTTCTTAGGAAATGTAGTTCACTGATGGAATTCAGGTGAGGGGTTCTTTTTAGCATATTGTGGTGTTTATTTAGAACTTAGTGGAACTTAATATGAAAGGCTGCTACTATATAGATTAACAAAATAATTGTAGAAGTTCAATTTATAAATATTATGGATTAAGATCATTGTGCTGCTTGCTTAATGCAAATAACTGATGGTGAAAGCTATCTGAATAATAAATACCCAGCACCTCTGTCTAGATTTTAGTCTACCTAAGCTGAATCCAGCATAGAATCTCTTTAAGGCAGGGTTGTCAAACTTCCGGCCCATGGGCCGGATGCATCACGTGCTGGCCACACTTATGCCCAGTTTAGCGAAGGGAGAAAAAGTCCTGATACATCACGTGATGCCGCCATTATGTGAGTTTGACACCCCTGTCTTAAAGGGTTCAATTAATAGAAGAACTTTTTTTTCCTGTTGATTCCCAACAGAATCTTTTTGTGTTGAGATTATATACCAGTCTAGGCAGTTGTCACACACATCCCCCTTTGCTGTGATGGTAGGATTTATTTTTTTAAATAAAGAGATTGAATTATCAGGTTCGCTGAACAATATTGTGTTTGAGCAAATCCTAACATCTCACTGATTACTTGACACTTTTTTATTTTTATTTTTACATGTACGGCTATACATGGCAGACTGGAAAATAATGAGGGAATGGATTTAAGGATTGAAGGAGAATCTGCAGAGACACCTTCCAAGTTCTACCAGGATCATGTCTGTTCTAAGAAATGTCTTTCCAAAAGGCCATGGGATTCCTACAAAGGGGAAAATCCTTTGAAGTTGCCGCTGCTGTGTCACTTCCAGAGATGGCATGCCAGAGCAGATTCTGGCTCAAAATCATACGATGTGATATACAAAGCTCCGTGCGGAAAGAGCCTGAGGAATTTTAAAGATGTGCAGAATTACTTATTTCAAACAGGATGCAGCTTTTTATTTTTAGATCACTTTTCCTTCAATACCTATGTGCAGTTATTCAGAAGCAGTTCTAGTCCCCAGGCGTTTATCACTGATCCAGATATCAGCCAAGGGGCAGAGACTGTACCAGTGTCCTTCTGTAATGATATCAACCACGATTGGCTGCCTTGCTTTAAATACCAGAAGACTTCTTGGCCCCGTGGATACTTCTTGAACAACTTTTCCAGCAGTTTTCTTGACTCCTGCGGCTGTACCGATGGCTGCATTGACAGGTGAATAATTGTCCATTTTTAAACAGCATTTTGAATAAAGTGTTTAAGTATGTGTGTAGTGATGAGATAATGGGGTGATTTGCCAAAGTATGTTTCTTTAAATAATTCCTACAAGATTTGAGATCAAATACAGGGACTTGGTTATTTTTGTTTACAAAATATGCAGAACCTTGAAAGGCCCTATTTAAAGGGGAAAGGTCAGCTTGCATCGTAAAGGAATTTATTTGTTGAAAGCCTTAATTTTTAAACTTAAGGAAATATCTTCCCTGGAATATGTGAACTATCCTGTGTTATTGCTCTTTACTTGCATGTGAAATGGTAAGAAGATTACAATGATTCTGTGAAATTACATCATCCTCTTTTAATGACACCATAATCCCTTGTGGGGTGGGGTCTAGGCAACTGAACGGAGCTGAATGTTTTACCAGCCGGACGCCCTTCCTGTTGCGAATATGGAGTTATATCCAGCAAATACATTCTCAGTGTGTCAGGAGAGATAACTGCCTCTACCGAGGATCGAACTCTCAGCCTCTTGATTATGAGGCAAGAGCTCCACCTCTAGGCCACCCTACCGCTCTTCTGCAAAATTACATAAATGCCATCGATGGAGAAGTCAATCAAAATTCCAAATGAAATATATCAAGGAAAGCACTTAAGTAATACTGTATATTTGCTTTCTCTGAAAATGCTATCGCATCAGAATCCAGGGAATAAATGGGCTATGTTGCTTTATTTCATATCCTTATTTCCACTAGATCTACTGTGTGCTTTCTAGGACAAAATGCAGGTGCCTGCTTCTTACTAAAAGAGCCTTCTTGAAAACTATGTCTCCAAAAAATGGATCATCTCACGGTTATACTTATAAAAGGCTGGAGGAACCTATTTCCAGTGGGTAAGGAATACTGTGTGATATGTTGTATCTAATTCACTCACTTGTTTCACTCATATAAACTCTGTTGCATTGCTGTTTTATATTATTACATGGTTGGTCGCATAGTCAGCCAGATACTTAGACTAGGTTTGGCATTTTTATCCACCCATGAGGCCTTCCCAAGGGCCCAAGATAGGTGCCTGTTACTGTTTAATGATGTTAAAAGTATAAGGCTATAAACCAGGGGTCTTCAAACTTGACAGCTCTAAGACTTCAACTCCCAGAATTCCTCCTCCAGTCACATTAGCTCAGGAATTCTGGGAGTTGAAGTCCACAAGTCTTAAATTTGCCAAGTTTGAAGACCCTTGCTATAAACTGTTCCAAGTAAATTGGAATTGCAATTTACAATTGACTAATAGTGAGTTTGTCAATGCTGATGATGTTCAAATGGTGCTCCACTTGACTGTACTGTGTTTATATAGGCAGTATTGAGTAGCAAATTTCGGGTGGAGTTTTTCCATACATCTGCAGATACTATTACTATCACTATCAGTACTACTGCTACTATTCTGGTGCCTTTGAGTCAGGGTTGAAGAAGTGGTTTGTGGTTTCTCTGCTTCCTGCTAGGGCTGAGAGAGTGGGACTGACCAACATCACCCAGCTGGCTTCATATCTAAGGTGGGACTGGAATTCATAGTCTCCTGGCTTCTAGCTTGGTGCTTCATCATTATACCAGACTGACTCTCCCTTTTAAATAACAGTTGATAATTATTGGAAAGTTTGCTTCTCATTTCTGATTTCACCAAGGAACTCAAGGGGGAGGAAATGCAAACTGCGTTGAAGAACTGCTTCATGAATCCAGGTTTGAGCTTGGATGTCTTGGTTCTCTCAGATGGTTATAGCTTAATGAGTTTGCAACCCAGGCTTAGACCTGAAAGCTATAGGTGGCTTTTAGAGCATTTTAATTGTCCCAGATTGACTTATTGGCATATGTAAACCTGTCCTTTATTACTTACATGAGGAGCGTTCTAAAATAAAAGTAAAGATGTTTTGGTCAGTGTTTGTTTTGAGCATGCCTGGTATCCTTGACTTACCGTTCATTTAACAATGGTTTGAAGTTACAACAGCCTTGGGAAAAGTGCTTTATGATCTACTCTCAAAAGTTACAGCTGTCACAGCATCCCCACAGTCATGTGATCATAATCCAGTTGCTTGGCACCTAGCTTGCATTTACAAGTAATAGTGTAGTCATGTGATAGTAATTTTCAACTTTTCCAACCTGCTTCCAATAAGCAAAGCCATTTGGGGAAGCCAGATTTGCCAAATGACCGTAATGATTCCTTTAATATCTGTGGTAAAAATAGTTGTAAAATCAGGTCTAGTCATGTCATGACTTGCTTTATGACTGCATTGACTTACAGAATCATAGGACTTGAGGGGGACCTTGGTGGTCTTCTAGTACGGGGGTCTCCAACCTTGGCAACTATAAGACTTGTGGACTTCAACTTCCAGAATTCCTCAGCCAGCAAAGAAAGACCACAGGTCTTAAAGTTGCCAAGGTTGGAGACCCCTGTTCTAGTACAACCCTCTGCAGGATTCATTGCAGGAATCTTCATTGCATCCCGGACAATTGGTTGTCTGGTCTTTTCTTGAAAACCTCCAGCGATGGAGCACCCAACAAACAGAAACCCCTAATTGTGGTCATAAATCAAGAACTACCTGCACTATTTATTTATTAAATTTATCTTGCCGCCTATTCGCCCATGGCGACTACATTGTGTCTCTATTGAATCTAAGCATCAATAAATGCATTCTCTGCTAAGGAATTGCAATAGTTGTTCACTCAAAAGACACAATAAATAAACCCATTCATCCAGGAATGCCAATTGTTAGCAAATATATAAAGTATACATTTTAAGAACATTATCCATCATTGTACACTTTCAAGAATTCTGATATGTTGCTAGACCATTCGTTGATATCCATCTGCCTAGTCAATTGGGCCAAATCTTGTACTGTTCATGCACTTGTTAATTTCTTAAGAACCCTGCTGTTTTACGATAGTGTAGTTGCTGAGTTGTCTTGCCTTGAGTTTATATGCTCACTGCCTATTTTTCTTCATCTTTCTCTGTCCAAGCAAGGGGCATCCTTATTGGAAGACCCAAAGGAGTGAATGTGTGTGTTTATCTGTCTGTGCTCATATGCACTTTGATGCTTTTCCCCCCATAATCCTCCTTTATCTTATTCTTTGCTTTGTGTATCAGAGTTTATGAATGCAGCTTGCTCTGCAGCTGTGACAAGAACATGTGCCAGAACAGATTGGTACAGCACGGCCTTCAAGTTCGCTTACAAGTCTTCAGCACTGAAAAGAAAGGCTGGGGAGTTCGTTGCCTTGATGACATTGACAAAGGAACATTTGTTTGTACATATGCAGGTAGGGCAAGAGGAGATACGCTTTAGGCATATCTGAGACATACTTTTTGTCTTCCTTAAATGTTTTATCTTTTTTTACTGCCATACTTGGGATATACATTTCATAAATACAGTGTTTTATTCTAGGGAAATTGAGGTCCAGAGATGAACATTACCAGGGTGAAGATAGTGGTGAAATTGAAGAAGAAGTTACCAAGAAAACCAACCAGAGTTTGTTTTCAAGAAAGAGAAAACTGGGTGCAGTCTGTTCTGATTCAGAGAATGAACTTACTCAGAACACTGGAAGACAATCTTTACATCTGAATGCTGAAGGTCAACCAAATCGGTAAGTTAACAACAATTACATGTTTAAATAATTTAAATAATTAACAATAATTACATGTTTAGCATCCCTTCACTGTTTGAATCTGGATAGAGCCACTTTTATGGTCCATCTAGAAGTGACACATTAACACCGTAAACATGTAATGTGTACCTCTAACAATACAAGCATTTAAAAATCCATCAGATTAGATCAAAATTATATACACAGTTGCTCTGAGTAAGCATGGCTCCTCTCTTCTCTTGAGATGAAGTAATGAGGAAGGAGTTTGTTGGAGAGTCTGGTTCTTTGGTGGTAGTAAAGAAAGAGAAAGGAAATTAAGCCCACCTACCAGACCCTGAGAAGATATAATCCAACTCAAAATTATGTGTTCAGAATATTAAATAAGAGTAGTGTTAGGAAGTTGATATTATTTTACATGTGCTTGAGGCAAATGGCTGATCTTTTTAGGCTTAATCCCCACTGTGGCTGAGTGTACCTAAATTATTCCTTCGTTCATTTTACCTCTCCTGATGTTTAATCCTCATCTCTAAATTCAATAATCCTCTATATTTTCTTCATTGCCATGTATTCCTAAGAGCATTAAATGTATGTTTTAAATGTCCATATGTTGAAGTTGTGGTGGAAGGGATTCCAGGTCACTAAAGGGAAAGCATTTTTGTGTTTATTTTATAACCATAGTTGAAGCTAAAAAGAAAGTGGTGGCAGCAAATATTTGCTGAAAATCATAAATGTTGCATCACTCTAAAGTAGAGCAGGCCCAGTTGTGAAAAAGAGCCTTATGACATAAAAAATGCAAATCATAATATTACAATGTGGTGATTACAGCAGTTTCAAAATCTTCTTAGTACATAAATTATTCTTTAATGCTTTAAATCTCTTCTCAAATTAAGTAGAAGCTGGGCTTTCAACATTGACAATAATATTATACAAGCTCTTTTATTTCAGTAGAATACGCTAAATCTTCCAAGTGGATGAAACTCCCAAATGGATGTGAGTCTGTTTACATAAAAAAAAGTTTAGGTAAAATTGTAATCTTTGTAGGCCAATACAAAATTTCCACAAGATGACAAGGAATTTGCTGTAAACATTGGACAATTACTAGGACAATTATTACAAGCAATAATTTAAAAACAGTTAAAAGAATTCTACTTTAACGTATGCTATATAAAACCATGTTTCTGTTAGCAGGGTTCAGAACTACACTTCATACAAGAATGTACAAGCTATTGCAAGACCTAAAACTAAAACATCCCTTCTTCAAAAACACCGGCGAGAACTAGTAAATATTCTGCATTTGTTTTTTGGCTTTTCACTTTATTTTAATCTATACTTCAGCTATTTCAAATCTGTTCTGTTTCTGCATTTGGTAGCCAAGTAATTAGGAAAGGTCTTACTTTGCTCAGTGAGTAAATAATACAGTACCACAATATTTTTCAACCTCAACAACTTTAAGATATCCAGACTTCAGCATGTTGGCTGGGGAATTTTGGGAGTTTTAGTCTATGTATCTTAAAGTTACTGGGGTTGATGAACTATCCTGCACTGTTCCTTTCTTCTCTTTCCTCCAAAAGAATGAATGTATGTGTGTGTGTGTATGTAATGTATATGAATATGAGATTACAGATAATCCTTAATTTAAAGAGATTACAGATAATCCTTAATTTAAAGAGATTACAGATAATCCTTAATTTATTACCATAATTGGGACTAGAATTGTCTGTTGCTAATCAAGACAGTTGTTAAATCAGTCATGACCTTTTCTGCCACAGTTGTTAAGCAAATCACTGCGGTTTTGAAGTGAATCTCATGGTTGTTAAGTGAATTCAGCTCTCCCCATTGATTTTATTTGTCAAAAGCCAGCCAGGAAGGTCACAAATGGCAAGTCATGTGAACCCAGGAGGTTGCAACCATAATATACACGTGCATGGTTGCCAAGTACCCAACCATGCGGTTGCTGCAACAGTCATGAATGTAAGAAACAGTTGTGACTTTTCCCGGTGCTATTGTAACTTGGATAGGTCACTGAACTAATGGTTACAAGTCGAGAGGTACCTGTATTGTGTAGTAAGTGTCAATTATTCTGAGCTTGGAAATATCTGTCTTGAGATTAAATCGAACTGTTTTGACCTTAATGAATGTGCTCCAACATTCTCCTGAGAGCCGTTCGGATCATCCAGAGAGTGGGAGGTGCTTCAGTCTACGTCGTTGATGGCTGAGCTCAATCACTGAGGAACGCTCCGCCCTCCATCACGTGGCTCTCTTGCGTTCCCCAGTTTGCGCTCAGCCGTCGTCAAGTTAGGCTGTGCATTTCTCACTCCTTGGCCGATCCAAGACTGCTCTCAGGTTTGAATCTATTTATAGAAAAAAAACAAGTTATTTTCCTTAGCCTTCTGGCGCAGGACTGGGGATTTAAGGGGAGCGCGTTTCTTTCGCCCCCAGGGGGGTTGTAGAACGGGCGACTTTCGCGCTTCGGCGCTAATTTCCCTTCCCCCCAATTTGATCTCTTGCCTGCCGTTTCTCTCGCTGCGCTTGCAGCAGCTTTACTGATCGCACTGATAAGTGCTGCTGGTATTCCCCCCCACCGCAAACGCCGCTCGCCCTAAGAAGGGGCGAAAACTTACTGCTTGGCTTCCTCGGCCTCTTTTAAGGCCGGAGAAGTAAAAAACTTCATTGCCCTGAGCAGCCCGGGACTTTAGCAACGTGGGCGATCGCCTCTAGGGCGCCCCCACGTGGCGGGCGCCATCTTTAAAAAAATAAAATAAAAAGATTGAGGCCTCATAGCGCTGCGAAGTAACCGGCCCTAGCACAGGCCTCTCAGCCTGTAGGACCTTTGGTAATTGGTACAATTTAGTAATTGTTGGCTTCCCGCAGCACGCTCAGGGCAAGTGATTGCAGCCTATCCCTCCCGGTTGTTGCCTGGGAGCTCCAGCTGCCAGAGGCCTCTCTTCCAGCCTCAGGCGTTTAATTCGGATAATTGGCAATCTTTCATTAATAGAGTAATAATAATAATATTAATAATTACAATAATAATAATTATAATAATATTAGAACAAGAATATTAACAATAGTTCTAATTCTAATAGACATTGGAATATCTGCCTGTATGCAGGTCTAGATATTTCCTCATATATAGGTTTATATTTATACTCACATATAGATAGACCTGAGTGAGTTTATTCCTGTAATTTTTTTCTTATTGATATTGTACCTTAGCATTCCAAGTCTCATTGGATTGTTATCCTGCTTGTGCAGATAAGTATTAAGAATTATTTCAACATCTATATTACAGAATTTATACATCTAAATTCCAAAAGGGGGTGTGGGCCAGCTGAAAGGACACCCGACCTTTGTTGTAGGTCGAACCCTTGGCGAGCCAACCGCCTTTAACTGTATTACTGTCCTTTCTTGTACAATGGCAGATGACATTCCCATCAAAGGCCCTTCTTTGAAGGCCAAATCCAAATCCTACCACCTGCGCAAACAGGCTAAGGAAACTCCTAAGGAAACTCCTAAGGAAACACCTAAAGAGACTTCTAAGGCTTCTCAGAGAGACGCCCTACGACGTCACAGGGCTCTCGAGAGGGAATTTGACAGGCGGTCCAGAGAGGCACAACCGGTACTTCCAGCACCCTCTGCTCCTTCTACCTCCAGACACCCCCCCTCCTCCAGATTGTTTTTCCGTCTCCAGGCGCAGCCCATCCCAGGGACACCAGGTTCCCGGCCCATCAACCAGACGGCCTCCCGAAGCTACATTCACGCCCACGGCCGCTGGTCTTCGCCAGGAGGAGGCCCCCTCATCCGAGATCCCTGCGCACATACAGGCATTGATGGAACGGGCCATTCGCCAGGGGATAGCAGAGGGCCTTCAATAGATGTCCAGGTCTACTCCCCCCTCACTGGCGCCCGAACACGACCCACCATCAGTGAGGTCCTCGCCTAGATCGGACCCTACTTGTGGTCAGGTACCTTCTCAAGGGGGCAGTCCTCTCCCAGAAAGGGACCCGGAGGAGGATATAGAGTATCTAGACCAATTTGGGGGGGAAGAGGAAATGGAATGGGGGTCTATGCAACAAGAGGAGCCCCTATCGGAGGTAGATCCTATGGAGGGGGACATGTCCGAGGATGAGGGTCTCACCCCGGACCAACCCACTGTTGCGGGCCTGTTCAAGCCCCACATGTTTAAATCCCTTTTATTCAAAGCCAGGAACATCTCTGGCCTGTCGGTCCAAACCTCCTCAGCTCTCCCCTCCCCGGCAGAAGGTCAGGAGGACACCATCTTTAGTCAACCCGTGGTGGAGGCGGAGGTAATCCCGGCTCCACCCCTATTTCATGACCTGGTCTCAAATCAACTGAATTCTACTAGGGCCCCTCCCGCCCCATCCAGCCTGGACAGGAGGTTCTTTAACCTCGAGTCGAGTTTCTGTGACTTACTCAACACCCCCGAGGTGGATGAGCCCATTGTTGGGTTGGCCTCCTCGTCCTCCCCCAGTGACCCCCTAGAGGCTCTGAAACCCGAGGACAAGAGGTCCGAGCTCGCCCTACGTAGAGCTCACCAAGCGGACTCCTGGGCCATTAGATCAGCCACTGCGGCTTCTTTCTTCACCAGATCCTCGATCCGGTGGCTTCGGCAACTGAAGCAACATGTTCCCCCCTCCAACACAAGGGCTCACCAGGACATAGCAAAACTGACGGCCGCGGCGGAATTTTCCGCTGACGCCACCTTCCATGCGGTCAAGTTCTCTGCCCGGGCAATAACGTCCCATGTCACTGCTCGCCGCCTGCTCTGGCTTAAACACTGGCAGGCGGACGTTAAAAACAAAGTTAAGCTGGCTACTGCCCCCATAAAAGGGGACAAACTATTTGGCACGGCTCTGGACCCCTTGCTATCTGAAACCCGGAGCAAGAGAAAATTTCTCCCTCCTCTGTTTCGGAGGTCAGAGTCTAGAGCCCCCCAGCCATTTCGGAGAGGCTCCTCCCGCCCTTTCTACCAGTCTCCCTTCCCGCCAAGGTACTCGAGACCCCCCTCCTCCCGACCGTTCCAGCCCCAGGATCGAACCGATCCGGCCGATAGGAACAGGAGGGGCAGCGGCTACAGGCGCCCTTTCAGGGGCTCAGGAGGGAGGCCCTTCCGGCGTAGATAGATCCCGTCCCTCCCCTCCCATCGGCGGACGCCTCAAGCACTTTGCCGACCGATGGGACTCTTCCACCTCTGATACCTGGGTCCGTGATACCATCAGACTCGGCCTCACGCTCGAATTCAAGAGCGCCCCCCCTGACTTCTTTCTGGCATCCCCCCCCCAAGGGACCCCATCAAACGCAACCTAATGGATTCAGCAATCCATCATCTTCTCCAAATACAGGCCATTCAACCCGTCCCACCCTCCCAGCGGGGGCAGGGGTTCTACTCCCACCTTTTTGTAGTCCCCAAATCCTCCGGAGGATGGAGGGCCATCTTGGACCTTAAATGCCTTAACCGTTATCTGGTCTATCGCAGGTTCAAGATGCACACCCTGCAGTCCATCCTCCTCAGTATCCGCCAAGGGGACTGGCTATCCTCCATAGACCTCTCCGAGGCCTACCTCCACATTCCAATCCGACCCTCCCATTTCAAATTCCTCAGGTTCTGCTACAACCACCGCCACTTCCAATATGTCGCCCTTCCCTTTGGGCTAGCCTCTGCCCCGAGGACCTTCACTAAGGTCCTCGCGGCCCTGGCGGCTCATCTCAGGAATCTCCCGGTCCGCCTCCATTGCTACCTGGATGACATCCTCATCCTCTCTCCCTCCAGACCCCAAGCAGAGAGGGACATCAGGGTTACTATCTCGGCCCTCCAAGACCATGGTTTCCTAGTTAATTGGCAAAAGAGCCAACTATCCCCATCTACAAGGATCTCCCACTTGGGGGCTGTCATTGACTCAGTGCAGGGTAAGGTGTTCCTCTCCCCCGAGAGATTCCTTAGTATCCAGGAAGCCGTCAGGCATATCAGACGCTCCAGGAAGGTTACAATTTTAGAATTGTCCAAATTACTGGGTAAAATGGTTTCTTGTATCTCCATTGTTCCATGGGCCCGTTTACACGCTAGACCCCTACAATGGTTCCTGCTCCCATTCCAGCGGACCGGCAGAAGCAACTCAAAGGCCACAGTCAAGGTACCTCCAAAAGTCCTTACATCTCTCCTCTGGTGGACCAGCCCCACCATCAACAAGGGTCACTTCATCAAGGAGCCCCACCGCCTCACCCTTACCACAGATGCCAGCCTGTCCGGATGGGGCGCTCACATCCTCTCGCTCTCAACTCAGGGCACATGGTCTCAGGTAGAACGGGGGTGCAGTATAAACTGGCTGGAGCTCCACGCCATCTTCCTGGCCCTGCGC